TTGTTTCCTTTGTAAGTCTACAAATATGTACACATTCAGAGAGTCAAACGAGAATCCACACAGAAGTTACCTGCAGCATACAACTCAACCCGAACACGAGCGGCCGGTGCTGAGAACACTGCAGAAGATCGCTGAAGGGTGAGGACGGGGCAGATCCCGATGGGGTAGGAGGTGCAGGTGTAGGGGGCAGCGCTGTGCCGGTCTGCGCTGCGAGGATGTGACCGCCGCTGCCTTCCACTTGCTGCGCCAAGCGTCTCGTGCAGAAATAAGCCAGGCGACGCGACAGGTAAGCGGACTGGACTAAGGAACTGGAATACTGTGCACAACACAAACATATTAGAGGCATTCCCGGCTCACGTCCCACCGACAGCCAACTCTTCATTGTACTCACACGCAGGAGGAGAGGGAACAGCAGCTTTAGGAGCTCATCTTCCCCGGGACGAATCTTTTCAAAGCATTCCAGGACCCAGGTGAGAAACTCGTGTCGCTCCAGCATTCCATCCTATAAGAGGAAACGGGGTTATATGGTTACAAATATATATATATCTATAGATATAAACAGTGACAAGGATTCCTATAGCTTAGGACAGGGGGGCCCACAATTGTTTGTGTTAAGATCTACTTTTCAAATGACGAGCTACATGAGATCTACCAATGAAAAAACAAACTCCCTCTCTCTCTCCCTTTCCTAGCTGTCTCTCCTCTCCCTCCTGGCTGTCTCTCCTCTCTCTCTTCTGGCTGTCTCTCCTCTCTCTCTCCTGGCTGTCCCTCCTCTCTCTCTCCTGGCTGTCTCTCCTCTCTCTCCTGGCTGTCTCTCTCCTAGCTGTCTCTCCTCTCTCTCCTGGCTGTCTCTCCTCTCTCCCTTTCCTGGCTGTCTCTCCTTGCTCTCTCCCCTGGCAGCCTCTCCTCTCGGCTCACCTTGTATTTTGCAAACAGTGTAGTGCAACTGGCTGTGTAAACTAATATTCTTTCATGTCTTTCACAGCTCCATTGTGTCAGATCAAATATTAAAACCCTTCCATATCCAGAGGCCATTAATGTCTAGATGCCCAGGACACAATCAGCATGTGTAGCCTAATGTGACATAGACAGGTTCTCCTGGTCTCGGGGTGTGAGAGCAAGGACAGGCAAGCATGCGCTGCCAGGAACGGGGTAGATGAGGGGTCCTTTTATCTGTATATGGAAAGAAAGCGTTACTATGTGATCCCGCCGGCTGTACAGAGCCGCTGGTCTGTCATGTCCTTTGCATCCAGATAGAAATACAACAGCCCTTACCTGGAACATGAACATGGCCAGCTTCTCGTTATATTCCCACTGCTTCAGAGCTAGTTCTACCTCCGGAGGAGTCGCCCCAGGAGGAGGACCACAGCCCCCAGTGGCCTGCCGGTAAAACTCGGCAATCTTCTGCAGCTGCTCCCATAGGTAGCGGGTGATAATCTGCGTCCACTCTGCAAGAGGAGGAAATGACATGGAAGTAAAGCCATACAGCTACAGAACAAATATAGGACATCGATCAATAATATTACCTATGATGGGGTCCATGAGATCTACTATCCATATTACCTATGATGGGGTCCATGAGATTGATCAATAATATTACCTATGATGGGATCCGTGACATCGATCAATAATATTACCTATGATGGGATCCGTGACATCGATCAATATTATTACCTATGATGGGATCCGTGACATTGATCAATATTATTACCTATGATGGGATCCGTGACATTGATCAATAATATTACCTATGATGGGGTCCATGAGATCTACAATCCATACAGCTACAGAACAAATATAGGACATCGATCAATAATATTACCTATGATGGGGTCCATGAGATCTACTATCCATATTACCTATGATGGGGTCCATGAGATTGATCAATAATATTACCTATGATGGGATCCGTGACATCGATCAATATTATTACCTATGATGGGATCCGTGACATTGATCAATAATATTACCTATGATGGGATCCATGACATTGATCAATAATATTACCTATGATGGGATCCGTGACATCGATCAACAATATTACCTATGATGGGATCCATGACATCGATCAATAATATTACCTATGATGGGGTCCATGAGATCTACTATCCATATTACCTATGATGGGGTCCATGACATCGATCAATAATATTACCTATGATGGGATCCGTGACATCGATCAATAATATTACCTATGATGGGGTCCATGACATCGATCAATATTATTACCTATGATGGGATCCATGACATCGATCAATAATATTACCTATGATGGGGTCCATGACATCGATCAATAATATTACCTATGATGGGATCCGTGACATCGATCAATAATATTACCTATGATGGGATCCGTGACATCGATCAATATTATTACCTATGATGGGATCCGTGACATCGATCAATATTATTACCTATGATGGGGTCCATGACATCGATCAATATTATTACCTATGATGGGGTCCGTGACATCGATCAATATTATTACCTATGATGGGGTCCATGACGTGGCGTTTCTTCATCTTGGTCTCGGTGATGGCGGCGTAGTACGCACAGGTCATCTTGATCAGCCAGGCGGCACGCATGACAGGAACGGAATATCGGGCCAGGTACCCGAACACCTCCTCCTTCTTCCCGAATATGGGGACCTGTCACCGGGACAACACACGCAGATCAGTGACCGGGCGCGGGGAGGGGGGGACAACA